CCCCAAAACCCCAAAACCCCAAAACCCCAAAACCCCATATTTTAATAAAATCCTGTGTGTATAATTATATTAATCATGGATGTCATAGGACCAATCGGAAGCCTCATTACCGCGGGAATGGAGCTCATGAACCGGTACGAACACTGAAAGCGGAATAAATAAGCTATTTGAGACCTATATTCAAATCATAAAGCTCTGGGAGAAGGAACTTGGCAAGGAGAACCTCAAACAAATTATTGAAGAGACTGATGAAGTCCAGTGAATTGTAGATCAATGTACAACTATGATCAAGCAACTTAAGAGAAAGTTCATTAGCTTTAAGAAGAAAAATATGTTTTCGAAGTTCTTTAAGGCCAAGAAGATAAATGATGATATTGATGCGTTTACAAATGGAATGCAGAATCTTATGGATATCTTGAGCTTCAAGATCAATGTTAAGAATTCTGAGAAGCTTAATGAGGTCAATGACAGATTGGAGCTCATTTCACAGCAGCTAGGAAGTCTTAAGATAGAGTCTAGCGATACAAGAATGCAACTCCTAGCTCAGACAGATGGGATACAACAAGTTATGCAGGATTTTGCTATTAAAGTCCAAAGCAGCACTGAAGCATACAGGAGTTTGGAGTACCATTGCAGGTATCCAGGTCGTGGAATTCGGCTTAAAGATGCTGAGTTAGGTATAGCTAGGTGTAAATTTTAGATTTTCAAGGTGAAATAGAAGAGGAAAAGAAGACAGGCTGTTCAGATTCTGAGAAAGAGGTCAGACTTAGCGATTCTGGTGATAGCTCCGACTCTCTTGATAGCATATTTACAATAGAAACTTTCAAATTTATGACTATCAGAGTTGTCTATTCTGACGATGGAAACTTTGAAGAAGATGAATATTTCAAATTTGAGGGAAGACAATGATTACATTCTGATAAAACAAATTCAAAGGTAAAATTTGAATAATCTGTAGAAAGAGCTTAATCGGAAATGGGATGACGAATACACAGCTGTTAAATTTGGCAGATTTAGGTACTCACAAACTGAGGAGAACAAAATTTTGAATGATATCTCATTTGATAGTGAGGTTGAAGATCAAGATACTGGTGAGATCTCAGTTGGTGACAAGAATGTCTCAAAAGAACATGCAACTATCTTGTTTGATAAAGGAAGGTATATTATTGCAGATCTCGGCTCTGTCAATAGCACATTCATTAAGGTGAATAAACTAGTTTTAAGAGAAGGCATTGTTTTCGATTTAGGTAAAGATAATCTCTTTGTAGTTCACTGAGTTCTCAACCCACAATGACCAGAAACATTACATAACTATGAATCAGACACTTTAGATCCCTATAATCACTTTGTTGATGGAAGATTATAATCTTTGAAGAGTTCCGAAACCTCAACGCTCAAAATTACTTCGGGCAGAGCCAAAATAGTTCATCCAAATCCGGCTTCGGGGATCTTTTCGGGTCTCTGGCTAGAATAGAATTAAGAAGTTTGAAAAATAGTTCTGAAATAATTACGATTATGCAGGAAGAGATTGCTAAGAAAGGGAGTATTGTTATTGGCAGAGGAGCTGATGCTGATATTATAGTGCAAGGAGATGCTGAGATTTCGAGAAGGCATTGAAGCATTAGTCTTAGTGAGCATGGAGACTGGGTTTTGGACTCAGAAGGGCATGATGTCTTTTGGTCGTTGAGATTGGAGTCGGAATGGCCAGAGATGAGGTTTGATTTTGAAGAAGTTTTTGGGGGTATGAGTTATGAAGAGTTTAAGAAGTATCCCAGGCCAGCATCTATTCCTGTGGTGCTGAGGAATTTGATGCAAGTTCGTATCTCAGATACTTTGTTTGAACTTGAATTCCATTAGAATATTAAAAATGAATATTTTAGGTGCAAATTTTGAGATTGGGGTTTTGGGGTTTTGGGGTTTTGGGG